AATTATATTCATTTGTTTGACAAGCAGACTAGCTGCTTTGTTAACTTGAACACATCCATTACCTATATAATGATCAATTTCAATTTGTTGAAATGACAGTGTATCAACTTTTGGATTCAAAGGCAGTGGAGGAGCTCTGCTCCATTTTGCAGATGTATTTTCTTGTTCAGGTCCCTACATAAAATACAATTACCAATGAATAATAAATTTGTATACATATTATTACATATAACATAAAAGATATAAACTATATACATTTATTTAAATAGAAAATTAATTTTAGATTAACGGAAATATGATTTAGACATACTTCTCCAATTAACAGTGTCTCATCTAAAAAATCTTCATCTGCAAGATCCATAGTGGCCAATTCTGCCTCAAATGAACTAGGCTTCTCCTCATCTTCATCTCTGTTTGACAAGATTAATATACAAATTTTAAAATTTATTGTATCACACAAGAAAAATATGATACTGTAGATATTTAATATTATGTAATTTTTCAAATCATAGTAATTAAATACAAATCAATATCAGTCAACAAAACTTCATTAAAAATGTAAAATAATAACAAATATTTGTTCAAATTTATTGTATACACAAAAAAAACACGTTTCTTAAATAACACTAAATTTTAGACTTAGATAAATAGATACAAAGCAAGCATATTCATTCAATTAAATGATATTAAAAAAGTATTAATGAATGTAATAGTATTATGATGAATTGTTAATAGCTGAAAATACAATGTAGACAAAAAATAGAGGTTAACAAAAGTACTAGATTTAGTAGCGAGACAAATAGTTACCTAAATTTGGACCTCTTTGCTGCCGAAGGTGCTGAAAACGGTTTTCGATTTATTTTACTCATGTCTTTTGTTGTGACACGTAAAACTTACGCGAAAAGACACAAAATACAAGAAGCCGAGCTCCTCAATCATACGAAGAAAGGCGGGAACGATTTTATGGCGCAATTTGATTATTAGTCTGCACTGTTACACTTTAAAGTACATGAAAATATATGGAAAAAATAATGTATCATAAACATTTTGATAATTCGATTGATAAAATATTCCATTTGTTAGCCTGATAAAAATGTGATAATATCAATATTATGTATTTCACTGATCACAATCATATCTTTGTGCTGTGTCTTTCTATCTTAAATAACTTTGTTTATTAACGTTCTCAATGCACCAGTACAGAATAGTGCAATCTCTACCAATCTCTGGGTGCGGTCCACTTAGCGCTACAAACGCTTCGGAAGCATTTGACTGACCAATCAGAAGAAAGAATTTCACTAATTGACCAATCAAAAAATGCTTCGAAACATTTGTAGCATCAAGTGGACTGTAGCC